AAAAAAAAAAAAAAAAAAAAAAAAAAAAAAAAACATAAATGTGATCAAAGATTATGTGACATGATCGAAATAGACTTTTCACTGAGCAATTCTGGTCATATTTTTTGGCATCAAAAAGTATAAGATCATCTGTCTCTTGTAGCAGGAATGTTCATGAATACAATACTAGTGCACTTTCCAGGAAAATTCATAATTACACACTCTCGCTTCTCCACAGTGGTAAACACTAATTACCCTCTTCCATCAGACTTCTGATTACCATCATCAAGTGAAAAGATCACGTTTCCACACGTAATGATGTGAAACCTGTAAGTTGTTACCAGTCAAAATGAGTATAAATGGGACAATAATGGCTTTTGTATAACCTCGCTTCCTAATGCATCCTCTGAACCCTACTGCTCAAAAGGTAATGTTTCTTAAAGCAGGTGCTTCAAATGATGAGGTCTAGTTAACAAGAACATCATCGTAAATATTATGACCCTAAATTACATCCTGGTGCACTTATTTTGATGTAAAACTACTGGTCTTGTTATTGTCATGATCTTATAATATTTTTTAATTATCTCTGAGATTGCATGGGATCAAGACAATAAAATGCTGAAAATGCTTCATGTTGTTATGGTTAAAAATAATATATATTACAGGGTTTGTTTTCTCTTTAAAATTTGCTAATACTTATGTAAAATATATAAACTCATATACTTGAACTTTTTTCATACAATGAAATTTAAACTAAAGGCCTATTCCCAATGTAACTAATGTTCAACGTAGATTGATCCAACTCTGAAGGTCCTCTCGTTGAATACAATCAGATAAAAAGATTAACACGCCTCCTGGCATTGAGTAGAATATACAGAAAAGCTGGTGATTATACAAGTACCTTCAAAACAAGAGTAAGAGAGTCATTCAGTTTATCTGATTGCATTCTGCAAGTCTCACCACAAAGTTTGATCAATCTACATAGAACGCTGGTTACATTGGAAATGGGCCTTAAATCTGTTTTTAGTTATTTCATACATATGTATAATTTCATATTGAGTTTGAAAGTTACAGTTAACAACACAGTAGAAAAACTGCACAGTTGTATTTTGTATAAGAACAGACTGAGATTTTACACAAACCAATATTTCTGATCACTTCAGGGTGAGTTTGAAAGGCTAAAGACGGTGTGTGCCCATGGCCAGTGGCTAGGAGGTGCTGGAACAACCCAGAGTTTATGGGAACAGGTACAGACACAGGTTTAACATAGTCTACCTACTGAAATATCACCAGTTTTACTTAATATTATCAAATATGTACCACAGTAATACCATCCTGTTTAAAAACATGCCACTGAATAAGTATGGAAAATTATAGGCAATTGCATTTGAATCTTACAGATAGAGCGCAGACTTCCCCAAGATGAACCTAGTTTGGAATGAAGATATTTTGCATTGTTTGTGATTTCAAGCAAAAGTCAAGACATGCAAGCAGGAAAATTACAATGAACTTTTACTGTCCTCAGGTAGTAAGACTGCACTACCTTGTTAAAGGCACAAGGGCATTAAAAACTGGAATGGATAACCATTGTATTTCTGTTGTAAAATGGATTTTTTTCCAAAAGATCATTCATTTCTATTTCCTTTATACCTGACTTGTGTATTAGTTCACAAAATTATAAGGTGTTCAATTCAGATGTGAAAAATAAAAAAAAAATGTAAGATCTCTAAAATGTGTTTTTAAAGCATTGTTTCATTTTCTTGGGATAATAATCGGAAGACATTACCGCAATGACGCAGGAGAAAATTAGAAACAATATAATCTTCAATGCATTTTGTATTATTATAATCATTAAAGAAATTTCCATTCTCAGTTTTCAAGTGCCTACCACATCTCAAATAATTGCATGGGATTGTGGTCTACCTAAAACACATAATCAATGCAGTAATGATGGGATAGCAAATATCATTCATAATCTATTCAAATGGTTTCTTTTATAAAATATTTAACTGCACTGCTCCTTTCCTCAAGAGTTATAACAATATGGTGAATTTAGTATTAAGATTAACTCTTCCTTATTAAAAATTCAATAGATACACTTTCAATCTTTGATATTATGTACTGTTATTATAACATAAAACAGAACTTCAAATATGTGTCTAATCACAAAGAATCAGTTAATGTGCACTGGTTCATGCTAGCATGAAAAAATTACCTCTTGGGCCTTGACACTATTTAGATTATAATACATTTTGTCCAAACATGCACATATACAGAAACGAGCCTTCCCAATTTTTACCAACTTTACCTCACTCTTTTACTAATATCAAACCTCTCAACAACACATTTCTCCCAACTTACGAGCCTACTTACCTGCAGTTTGTTGTACAGCTCCAAATTAATCTGTTTTATTTCATCTAACTGCTTTCTCAGAGATACAACGGTGTCCTGCTTCTCATGGACATCTTTCTCCAGCAGTCTCATAGCCATCTCCATCTCTGTTTTCATGCCTATTTGCAGTTCTAATTCTTTTTCAAGGTCCTATGAATATTACACAAAGTCTAAATATATGTATTTTCAAAGGAGAGTTCTGTCATTAAACTCCTAATAAATTGTACCAAATGTGTTTTCAATGCTACAGTTCTGACCACATTGAAACTGTTTCTGTGTATGGATAATGATAATGACTACCACAGAAAAATTTCTGTCATAAGTATATCACAGGCAAATTGAATTAATCAAACGGAGAAGTGCAAACACCTTTTTTTTCTCACAATAAACTTTATTTTTTATCATTATAAATTTTATGACACATGAAACAGGTTGATTGTCAATGTCATGCTGCCCTCATTGTCTTCTTAGCATCAAAACCAAGAATACAGTTCAGTTTCACTTTCTCCAATACAACCATGCAAGTAAGTTAAACCAAGACTTTTAGTTCTCTAGGATCATTCTCCAACAAAAACAACAACAATATGCATCACAGAATAAATAAAATGGTGAGAAAAAAAAACAGAGCAGTATGCAAATTAAATCAAATACCAACATTACGACATTAAAGATAGGCAGGGTATGGGTACAAACCATTCTCATTTGGATCTCCTCTTCCTCTCTTTTCTTTGAATCGGCATATAAATGATCCAGACCTTGCCGAGAGGTGATATAGGTCTCCCGCTCTACTGACAAGTCAGCCTGAGCAGACTGGAAAGAAGGGACAGGGACACATGCTAACTTTCTCCTCTTTTTAAATTGTCACAAAATTTTCATCAGATTGCTCTAATGTTTGTCAGTTTTAGAAAGGGGCATTTTACTTCTTTTTTTTTTTTTTTTTTTGTTTTTGATTTTTTTTTTTTTTTTGTCCTGATCTCAATTTGACACATAAAACTTACAAACAAGCATGCTATACATACATAAAACACATGCATACAAACAGTGCCAAGCTTAATAAAATTACCCAAAATTTTTTTTCATGAAATAAAATGTCAAGGTGTTTGGTATTAATGGGCAACTAAACATAGCTGCACAAGAGGTTAAATATCTAAAATGATTGCCACCAACCAGTAGTCGAATTATAGTCTGCAGAGAAATATAATCTTGACTGGTACTGGCACAATCCCGCATTTTTACACAAATTTTTTTTTTTTATTTTTATCAAATTTAAAATCCATAGTAAATCAGGTAGCCAATTCTTTGAAATATTTAAAAAGAACATACAATCTCGCTATTTCAAGCAACAACAATGTGTAAGTACAGTATGAATTGCATGGACTGTAACAAAGACAACTGGTGAGGTTAACTGAAAACACATGATTACATATAACAAATCAAATCAGGTTTGAATTGTAAACAATGCAGACAAACAATGGAACAAAGGAATTTTATCAATTAAATGACTGGCTGCATTTTACCTGCTTTCTATGTTTCCCCTTAGACATGAAATGAAATGTTAATCACTTATAATTCAACTTTCTAATGAACATTACAGATATTTCATGTTATAGAAAAATCAGATTAAAGAAGATAAATATTTAGGTCTGAAAATTGCACACTATAATTACATACATCTACAGAAAAATGCTCAAATTTCACAATATACCTCCATTTTTCTTTGATAACTTGTCTCCAGGCCTTCTTTTTCTTGCCGTAGCTGACTGTTCTCTTCCTGGAGGGCCAAGATATTATTTTTAGATATTGCAAGATCTTCTCTCATCAGTGTGTTGGAAGTCTGCACAGCTTCCATCTTTTGCTGAAGATTGGTCACGGTAGCACTAGAATTCAATGTTGAATGCACTAATTGACAATTTGAAAGTACTAAACATATATGTACAATATTCTGAGATGAAAATTCTATTCATAGCAAAAAGCTATGTAGTGATTGCTTTTTGAAACAACCATTAATTCTATCAAATACTGATCCTATCAAATCCTTTTCTTACATCATTTATTATAAGATATTTCTCAATATAATTCATAAAATGGATGAAATCTGCCAAAAGGATAAAAATACCCATTCCTGATAGACAGAAATTTGTCACAATGTTTTAATGGATAATTAAATAGAAATGAGTCCTGGAAAAAAATTCTATATCTTATGCTTCCACTATTTGATAATATTTACTTAAGGTGTCTGTTTAATTCTTCAAGGTAATTTTTTTGGTCCAAGATGGCTGCCATCTTTGCATTTCCCTCAGAGCTATAAAAGAAACAGAAAGATTTCAGCTGAATCAACAAAATGTTGCAAAATATGTTATATCTACAAGAGCTAGCAAAATTCACAGGTATTTACATATCCTCTCAAACATAGCTGTGCAATGAATATTCATATCTATAGATCTAAAAACTTGCAGACACAATAAAACAACATGTTACTGAGTTATTTCCATATCACTTTTTTTACAACTCACCCATCTTCTTCTTCATTCTGTCCCAAAAAACTGTTGTCTTTTAGGTATAAGCTGAAATCAATGACACCCATCTGAAAATAAAAAAGAAATTACAATGAGGTACAATTGTCAGGGCATAATTATATTATAATTATAACAATTCCCAAGTAGTACGTATATTGATCAGGGTGCTTTTGAGGTCTTTGGACTGAGTATGAAATATAACAAAAATATGTATTCTGGTCTTCTCACAAAAGCAACATGAATATCAATTTCTAAATTTTTTAAATGTCAATTTTGATACAAAATTTCTTTTGGCCTGTATGGGTGTCACCAGCCAGCCAGTAAACACCCCACCCCCACCCCTACCCGCACCCCATCAGATTTTGGTATTTTAAATATCATAACATGCAATCTAAGCATTTGGTGACATCAGCTGATGGTTTAGCCTGCTCCAGTTTTGAAAAAAAACAAAGAAGCCTATTGTACTTACTGGTTCATCAAGATCATCTTCTTTGATACAAATGTTACAGTCTATCACATTCAATCCCACCAGGAGGCCACTTATAACTATTCCCTCTTCTTCTAGCATAAAAGCACCAGGTTCATAGAAATCTCTGTAAAAACAAAGATTGCATATTATTTGATGCTGCATGCACCCTATATTGTGAATATAATTATTTTATCATGACACCATTTGGGGTCTGTATCACAACCAACACAATACACACAGCTTCCACACAATGTTTGTTACCAGCTACAAGCACAACTGATTTAAATCCCTAAGAAATGCCTTGACAGGTATATAATTTATTCTAAAAATATGCTTAACTCATCTTCTGATGGTTCTTGGCATACATAATGGTCCAAATGTAGCAGCCTCTTCAGTTGGCACTGTGATCATCTTCAGTTCTTATTATCTGAACAACCAATTTAACTGTTTAGTCCAGCCTGCATCACGGCATAGGGGGTATATTCCAAAGGGATTGTAACCTACTTTGTATCATTTACAGCATTTTACCAATGGAGGCAGGGAGACCATCAGAAATCAGCAGCATCGCTTTTGAACTGTGGTCAGCCATAACTAGTTGGCAGATCAGTAAGTACTCGGACCATCCATTTTGAATGGGGCCTAAGAGCGCATTCTCAACGAATTAAGCCAGGCTTTACAAAGCCGGTGACCTAAAAATGGCGGACGTACATGAAAGAAAAACCGCCTAATCTTTTAATAGTCTCTCCGCCTCCCCACACGTCGTCCCTGCGGGGTACAGTAATTAAATCTCGGCTCCGTTCGCCATGCGGAAGCTACCTGAGAAATATTAAGTGCGCATGTTCATCAGTTAAACTCGTGGTGAAGAAGGCATAGCGGCTGAAGGCGATCGAAAAAAAAAAAGCTCTTCTGTTCTATTATCTTTGAAAACAGAGACGAAAAAGGAATAATTTGGCCCGTAGAGCAGCAATGAATCGACTATCTAAGGAGATAATATCACCAGAGATATTCACGGAAATATTAATGTTCGGAGCCGAGATTTAATTACTGTACCCCGCAGGGACGACGTGTGGGGAGGCGTGTGAGAGGCGGAGAGACTATTAAAAGATTAGGCAGTTTTTCTTTCATGTACGTCCGCCATTTTTAGGTCACCGGCTTTGTAAAGCCTGGCTTAATTCGTTGAGAATGCGCTCTAAGATACATCATTTCCCCCTATCACACCCCCAATATGCACAGAGAATCATCTAATACTTACACAAGCACATCATCCTTTTTATCTATGAGAACTTTGAAATAATCAGCAAGTCTCTTCTGCATCAAGGCCAATCTCAAAAATGCACGAGCTCTTCCTAGAGGTGTCCTGGTAAAAACAACATGTATTATAATCTCACCCAAAGATAACTTCATTATATCCATGTTAATCTACTCTTTATGATACTGATGCTGGTCAATAAATATCACAACAAGACAGTCAAATTCCAAAACATTCAAAAATAAATAAATAAATAAATAAAGATAATATTATAATATAAGATAAAGGTAAATACAATAAATGGACTTGTAACTACATAAGCAATTCAATAGTATTACTAATAAACATAAAAAGGAAGTTAAACACCAAAGACATGAATTCGATTATTGATGATAATGATGACTGTATAAGTGTAGGTCCTATTTAGAAAAATAATAGAATTGATATACAACTGAACGTGTAATTACTGATTTTGGTCACTGCAGATATTGTGAAAACAATGAGAATAGTAAGATTGTAGATGAAGTTCACAGTGGCACATGACCCTTATTTCCAAGGCACTG